ACAGACCAGGCCTGCCCTATAAGCTGTGTGCCCAGAGTAGCAGCCTAGAAGTGCCACTGTACTCGTAGTTATACCCAATTTTAGTTACATGCAAAATAAGGGGTGGTCCATGCAGATATGTCTAGAATGAGGGAGGTAACTTCTGGGTTGTCGACTGTTGCCATGGAAAGGGCAGGGGGTAACTTCTGGGCGTTGCCATGGCACTGGTAAACTGACATGGCACACTGATGGGTGCATCTTATGGGGAAGGGCTTCTGCCCCTGACCTGTTTTAGCTGGTCCTCCATTAGGTCTGGTGTCCAAGCCCCACCTCCAGAGTCGAGTTCTGCCTCCTGCCTCAATAGGAGAGTAAATGGAGCCCTCACTGGGAAGGCTAGGTGAGGACGAGCAGGAGAGGGTCCCTAGCAGTGGAGTGAGCAAATCTCAGCCCTGCAGATGACTGCGGATGCTGCTGCCCTAGTGCCTGCACAGGGTGAAAAGAAACCACCAGGAAATGGTGCATTTTCCTGCTGCACCTTCCCACTCACCCACCTTCTGTTCATCATAGTCAACTGAACCTCCAAACTAGAAAAATACCTACAGAATAGACCAACAAATCCTTTTCCCCTCTGTGAGTAACATACTTAAATAAGTTTCTAACAGAATCATTCTCAAGTTGTAACAGTGGATCAATGGTTTTCCTTCTGCAAATATGTACAATAAAAGAAAATGTAACAGAGGTAGGAAAAGTGTCTGTGATTTAAAAAACAGAGCTTATTTTGAGAAATCAAAACAAATCCTCTCTCATGATGTAAAACTATACCAATAAACAAGGGTGAAAGTGATCTCTCATTTTGGTATTTCCCATAAGATTAGATATATTGTTTCTTTTAATGGAAATCCCTGAAATCCAGAAAGACAGTTTCCCAGTGAAAAGCATAATCATGGAAATTTTCTAGTGTCATTAGGGCAATACAGAGCAGATTGAATAGAACAGAAAACAGAATCTGTGAATTTGGAAGTGAGCTCAAAGAATCCTCCCAGAATGAGTGAAAAGAAGACAAGAAATGGAGAAAATAAGAAAAGAGAGAAAGAAAAAGGAGAGAGGAAACTACAAAGGAAGCTACAGATCAACTCTCTATGTAAGATTTTTAAATGGTGGCAACAGAGCAAATGAAAGATAAAAAATAACTCAAGATATGACAGAAAATTCCCCTGAGTTGAAGCAAGACTTGTGTCTGTAGAATCTAGAGGCAAACTGCCCTGGCAGGCTGTTCACCTGCTTTTGCAAATAAAGTTTTATTGGAACATAGCCATGCCTGCTCATTTATTCATTGTTTCTGGCGGCTTTCCTGCTACAACAGCAGAATTGCATGCTCGCCTCTACAGACCCTATGACCTACTTAGAAAGCTGTATGGCCTTCTAAGAAAAGATCTGCTATCCCCTCTAAGAGTTCTTCGATGCATACATGGCTAAAATGTTTGCATTGCAAGGATAACAAAATTTAAAATCCTATAATCATTTAGTCCTCTGGGGTGGGGGTAGAAGTACCCAAATTACCTCCAAAAGAAGAAAGAAAGAAATTGCACTAGGTCACACTTCTTAGCAAATTCTAAGATAAAATGTTATCAAAATCCACAAACTTTCAGAGGATTGAGATTGAGAACTAAGACTATATGCAGCCAAGGTGCCATTCTTGTATATTTGTAATCTTTTTGGTGCTTCCACTCCTGGCGTGGTGTCTGCAATCCCAGTCACAGCCCTCTGAAAGTGTGCAGATAATCTTATGCGGACAGATTCATAAACAACATAAGTTGTGACTATTACTTCTTGAAAGCAAAAATCATCAAAGAAACGCTCCAGGTGGCTGAAAAATGAAGCAAAATAAATAATTCAGATATGAGGAAAAGCAATATAAAAGAAACCTTGCTTAACAGAGAACCAAAAATTTCAAGTTGATTTCTTAATAATTGCAGTTAACGTGATTATAAAACAATGCAAGTGTCAAAAAATAATTCTGGAAAGAGATGAAACCCAATGTAAAAATGTATTAATTATAATATTCTTATTCTAAAAGCCAGATGGGGCTGGAAAAGGAATTGGTGATGCTAGTACTGGTAATTATAGCTTCCATTTTTAGAAGTTACTATGTATTAAGCACAAAAATAATGCTGATATAAATATTGTTTTTCATAAATCTTTGTACATATCTATAACATTAATTCCTTAACATAAATTCTTAGAAGGTGAATGCTGGGTCTGAGCATTTAAAAATCTTTCAACACAGTGAAATTTGAACTCTCAATAGAAATATATAAGTGTTCATTTCTCTGTACTCTTGCCAATGACAATTATTACCATTTTGCTAGTTATAATAGTGAAAATAATGTATGAAAAAGTATGGGAGTTTAAAAATTTTTGTACAAACAAGAGCAAATTAAGGTTATTTGATATAGTACTATAACTTTCACTCACTTGTGTTCTGATATACTTCTCAAATAGAAGACACCACCACTCTATTTTCATTTTTCATGAAGGTACTAGGTGGCATGTTTTTGTGGCATATAAATGTCAATTTTTTTTTTTTTTAAGATGGAGTCTTACTCTGTTGCCCAGGCTGGAGTGCAGTGGTATGATCTCGGCTCACTGCAACCTCCACCTCCCAGGGTTCAAGCTATTCTCCTGCCTCAGCCTCCTGAGTAGATGGGATTACAGGCATGTGCCACCACGCCGGGCCTTTGTATTTTTAGTAGAGACGATTTTGCCATGTTGGCCAGGCTGGTCTCAGACTCCTGACCTCAGGTGATCTGCCCACCTCAGTCTCCCAAAGTGCTAGGATCACAGGCATGAGCCACCATGGCCGGCCATAAATGACAATTTTAGGGGAAATATAATATTTTTTATTTGGAGGCAACATTGATGAGAATTGAGGGCCATTATAAAATGTATAGCAAGTCCCCAAAATGAGATTCTCTGCAGCCACTAAAAGTCATATTCACAAAAACTATTAGAGGTGTAAGAAGCTTCTGGAAATATAATACTGAGTGAAACCTAGTTTATATGATACAATTCCAATTCTGAGGTTAAAAAGCATATACCATGTACAAATAAGGAGATGAACCAGACCTTAACAAGGATGGTCTTCAAGAGATGACAATCCAGAAGATGGGGTTTCTTCTTTATTCTTTTCTGTATTTTCTAAGTTTTCTATTTAAACATTTTAATACATAGAGAAAAACAGATACCTTGCAAGTAAGCTAGAAGTTTTTATCTGTTTCCCTGGCAACTAGGGCAGTCTCTGGCTCCCAGTAGACACTTCCGTCAATATCCACTGAATGAGTAAGTGAATGAGTAAAAGACTGCGTGTTTCCCCTAGGCAGAATCCCCTTTCCTGGGGCATCTTATGATCTCCTGGTTTCTGCAGGCCTGGGGTCCTGCCCTTATCTGCTTGCTTCCCACTGTCAGCTGCTCAGCTGCTTTGACCCTCACCCATCTCCCTGTCTGGATCTCTGCAGCATGTCCACAGTGGGGACCTCCCCAGGTTACCTGCTTCATCTGCTAGGCCTGGGCCCCAGATTTCCATCACTGAGGCCCACCAAGTTGGTCTTGACTTTGCCAGTTCTTCTTCCTTCCAAGCTAGAAAACTGCATTGGAAAAACTTCTTGGCCAAGGACATGACACCTTGGGAAACTGATCCAGGCAGTCAGCAAGGCTGATGTCATCCGGATAACACCAGGATCACACTGAGCTCCCCTTCCCAGTTGATTGGTTTCCTTGCAGGGAATGTTAATTTGTAAAAATCATGAATAGATTTGTAGTCTGAATTGGCCCTTAAAAACAGAGCTATAAACACCGATGTGATGTAATGGCTGCTTCTATTCTGATTTGTCAGTGACAATGTTTCACCAGTACTCAAAATGTCTCAAATATCACCTCTGCTTACATGGGAGTTTGAGTGAGGAAGAGACTGTTGGACTGTTTGCTCTGGTTGAATGAGACTTAGCAGGTTGGTATAACACATTTTGTCCTATCAAAAATAGCTGAGATTACATAAGCACAACCTCTCCCCAGAGCAAATATGCATTTGAGAGGCAGTGAAACATACATAATTATAGATGTAAAACACTAAAAATAGGCTCTGTGCCACACACAGGCAGCTGAGAGCGTGGGACTTGAGTGCAATGCTGCCACGTATGGCAATATTAATAGGAGTTGTGGCACCATCCCAGGTGGCCCAGTGAGGCGATGCAGAGCTATTACAGACAGGAAAAGACGGAGAGATTTAAAATGTTTGTGTGCAAAGAAGTTTGCTGCTTATTTGAGCCTGTCAAAACCTGTTCCAGCTGACTGTGGTCTTCTCCCAGGGGACAGGAAATAAGAAGTCATCAGACAACCATGATTGTTACATTGTTACCTCTTATTGTATTCTTATTATAACTAGTCTGTATGAATAATAATAGCAGCTTGTGCTTAAAAGCATGTGCTGTGTTTTTCCAGGGATTTTTCACCTCTACGGTTATTCAATTCAACCAGTCTATACTGAGGGCTGTTTCAAGTAGCCTTTGCTGTATAACACAACCTCCCCACAAAACTGGACAACTTCAATCAACCAGAATTGCTTTACAATTTTGTAAACTGGCTGTGTGATTTTCTGCTTGTCTCAGCCGGAAGGTCCCAAGATGACCTCAGGCACATGTCTAGCAGCTGTGCTGCGACACTTGACTGGATACCTTGATGCTCCTCCCTGGGGCCTCTTGTCTTCCAGAAGGCTAGACCAGTTTCCTGATCTCAGGTCTCTGGGCAGTGCTTCAGGACGGCCCCCGGTGAAAGCTGCATTGTCCCTTAAGGTCACCTCCACTGCATTCTTCTGATCAACGCCACTCACAAGGTCAACCCATATTCAGCAACGGGAAAATAAACTCCACCTCTTGATAGGAAGAGCTGCAAAATTTTGTAGGTGTGTTTAAGACAGCAGGGCTGAGCTAGATATTGACTTACGTCATCTCTTTTAATTCTCACAGGAGCCCTGAATGGAAAGGATTACTATGCACACTTTTTGGATACAGAAACTGAGATTCAGAGAGGTTAAACAACTTTCCTAAAGCCACACAGCGAGAGTCCATTTGAACTGAAGATTGTTTGACATCAAAGCTCATTTCTTTCCCTAAATGTCAGCATTCTCTCCTGACTTATTCATTTGATTTCTGTCTTTCCCTCATGGAAGTTAATTAAAGGAATGCGAGAACCTTTTAGAAAATCTCCAGGGCAGTTTCTGTGTTGATCATTGTTTCACAATCTCTTTTCCACCCAATCCTCACCAGCTCTTTAGATCTGTTTCTATTGGGCCACATCCCAGAGCCACACAGATCAGGGGAGAGAGAGCTCGCTACTAAGGCAAGTCCTCTGTCAAATGCAACAGGGACAAGGAGACCAAGCACTTGCCTGTGGTTTACTATGTGCCAGGAACTGTGCTGATTGCTTAACAATAATCAACCTACCTAATCCTCATGGTAATGACACAAGGTAGGCATGGTTGTTTTTTGTTTTGTTTTGTTTTGTTTTTTAATCTCTTTTGCAGATGGGGAAACTGAAACAGGTCAGTAAGTTGTAGAACTGGGATCTGAAACCTGGGCCATCGGACTCCAGAGCTGATGGTCTTGCCTCCCTCACTTGCCAGCCTCTCCAATCATAAAGGAGCTTCAAGCAGAGAACGGGAGAAGTTGTAGCCAGTGTGACCCCGACTCTCATTCCAAGGCCCTCTTCATCACCAGCACCTTCTCCTTTCCTCAACCCACCTCGCATCTGAACAGTGAGTCCCAGTTTTCCAGCACCAGAGATTGAGGTGCAGGGAAGTTAGATGTGTCTCTGCAAGTTTCCTGGGATGCTGATGGCAGGTGGCAGGGCAAGACCCAGGTCTCCTGCCTCCTGGACCTGGGCTGCGCCTAAGAGGAAAAGAAGGAAGTTATTGAACCCCGGGGACACTCCCTCAGCCTGAGTAGCCCTGTGCCAGTGTGGATGTGGCAGCATTCTTTTGAGGCAAGTAGGGGTAGAATCTTCTAAAAATAAGAGAGCTTCTGATCTCCCTTAAGTTGGCCAGAGAGCCCAGACCACTTTTCCTCCTGAGTGGACACGGGACATCTGAAATGCAAACCTGCCTTCAGCACTGGGATCAGCAGTAACACTGGCGAGTCTTCCGAGGACTGGGTGGTGGGCTGCGTTCCCCACGTTCCCCACACTCAGCCAAGCCCTCTCTCCCACACTACCAAAACCACACACTGCTGAGCTTTGCTTTGAAACACAACATCCAACAAGTCATGAATCATGAAGATCTGGACTCATCGGCCAACAAATTAGAGAGTGATTTGCTTCTGGTTTCCCATCAACGGTGAGATGCCCAAACACCTGTCTGCATCGGTTTCTAGGGGCATCCACTGCCCATCAGCAGAGAGGCCAAGAAGCTGATGTGCAGGGAAATGGTGGGAAAGGAAGTCTTTCCAGAAGCGACTGGCTGTCGCATTGGGTGCGATCCACTGCCACTAGAATTCACCTTGCAGGTAAAGCATGGTGGGAACATGATGTATTTTGATGGCACGTTACAGGTTATAAAACTCTTTGACATCACTCATTCTTGCAAAGGGTATCTTATTTCATTTATTTAGTTTTAAACCTAGCATTTATTATGCCAGGCACCACAGTAAGTGCGTATGTTATATAGGTTTTATATTTTATTTGTATGTTTTTATGTGCATATATATACATAGCATAAAAGTTACCATTTTAACTCTTTTAAGTGTACAGTTAGGTGGCATTAAGTGCATTAGTACTGTTGTGCAACCATCACCATCATCCATCCGAAGAACTTTCTTCACCTTGAAAACTGAAACTCCTTACCTTTTAAACAACAGCTTCCCATTCCCCTTCCTCCTAGCCCCTGGCAACTCCCATCCTCCTTTCCGTCTCTATGAATTTGACTTCTCTAGAGACCTCATATAAGTGGAATACTACAATCCCTGTCCTTTCATGACTGGTGTATTTAATTTAGTGTAACGTCTTCAAAATTTATCCATGTTATAATACGCGTCAGAATTTCCTTCTTTTTGAATGCTGAAGAATATTCTGTTGCGCGTATATTCCACATTTTGTTCATTCATGGACATTAGGGCTGTTTCCGCCTTTTGGCTGTTACAAATAATGCTGATATGAAGCCCAATTCACAACTTCATGTGGTTTTTGTCAGTTACTCTTCAAAACAAATCTACAAGGTAGGTCCTCATACCTTCTCGTTTTCAGATGATGAAACCTGACGTAGACAGAAGGTAACACAACTGTCGAAGGTCACCTCTAGTAAACAGTAGAGCCACTTCATTCATTCATTTTCATTCATTTGTTCATTTATTCATTCACATTCAGCAATATTTTGGGGTTCTTTGGGGTAGCTACCATGTTCTGGCACTGTTGTTGATGCCCGAAGTCTAGAAGTGATCTGAGCTTACACCTTCTAATTCCATAGTCTCCTTTCTTCGCCCTCACATCCTGCTGCCCTTCTATATGTAAATATCTGACATTCCAGAAGTACATATAATGATTTATAAAATATATATAGACACATACATGAAATATTTACAAAAAGTGAATTTATATTTTGTGGAAATAAATATAAAATTAAGATCCAGTGAAAGAAGCAGAATTTTAAGTATAAAGGGCTAATATGCAATTCAATGTGGTGTGCGTAGGGGATGGTGCACCATTGTTCATCTCAGTGCAATGAGGAAGGCAAGACTTGGAGAGGCAAAATGATGGGTCCAGGGCCACGCAGCAGAGTTGAGTCCCTGCCCTGGTGTTCTGAGGCAGGTCTTGTGCTTTCCCCCTGAAACAAACAAACTCTTGTAAAATATGAAAGGAAGGAAAAACGTATTCTGATGAGCAAATGCCATCCCCTCAGGTAGAGATTTGAGTTTCAGATCCTGGTTCCCAGAGGACCAAGACAGTGACTATGAGCCTGGCCTCTGTAACAGGCACATCCACCGAGTCTAAGAGTTTGACATGCACCTGCTGTTTGATCCTCACAAAAACTGCCTTGTGTTCCACACCATCTTACAGAAGGAGAAACTGAGACTGGGAGTAGTTAATTCATTGTCTCACTGGCACAAAGCTAGCAAGTTGCAGAACTGGGATGTGACTCCCAATTCCTTACTCAACTCCTACGAGTCTTCCACGGCCAAGGAGTGACTCCGGCATCAGAAATAGATGAGGTCTCCGATGGTCTTCCAGCTCTGTGGGGATCCTCAGACAGGGCTGCTGAGCCGCCCCCACCACTAATTCCTTACCTGCTCCTGCCCCTCCCACTGTGTGACTTCCTGGAGAGCCCTCTCCTCCCGTTGACTGCGGTGGTCCTTGACTCCTTTATGCAGCCCCAGTCAGTTTCTAGAGGGAGATTTTCATTCTTTTATTCACTTATATATTCAGCAATATTTGGGGGGATCCTACCATGTTCTGGCGGTGTTGTTGATGCTGCACATACAGAAGTGAACAAAATAGACACTATCCCTGCCCCGAGAGTTCCAGTCGGAGGAGAAAGACATAAACATAATAAAAATACACTTTTAGATGGGAATAAAAATAAGAGCCATGAAGGAAAGTAAAGCAAGGTAAAGAGAGTGAAGCAGTTGGCATAAAGGTGGCTACTTTAGGCAGGGTGATCAGGGAGGGCTGCATGGAGGAGGTGATATAAAAGCAGAGAGAGCTACGTGAAGGATGGCTGGGGGGCGTGGGGGGGGGAGCAGAAAGAAGTTTAAGTATAAAATCCCTGAGAGGAGAAGAACTTGAAAGCTTTGAAGATTGGCAAAGAGGAAGGTCAGTGTGTCAGGAGTAGGCCAAGGGGTGAAGAAGAGGGGAGCCAGGTTAGAAGGACTGGCAGAACACACTGACCTGAGAGCTGACCAAGGCGAGGACTTTGGGGGGTCAGGGGCTTGGCAAATATGATTGTCTCAGTATGGCCATTCATACTGGTGCCCTTTTCAGGCCATTTCTCCCCCTGGGGGCAGTGAGGAGCCTGCCAGCCCTGCTGCTTTGGAAAGCCCAGAGGACCAAGGAACTGAGGTTGCAGGGGAAAGGTGGGGAGGGGAGAGGCAAGCAGCAGGAACACCAGGAAATGGGCTGCTCTGAAGGCTCTGGGGCCTTGGTTCTGCTCCGCACAGAGCTGGGCTGTCCTGGCTGATATTTGTTGTGACCTCTTCTGGTGTGACTTCCCTCCATCTCTCTCAGAACGAGCCTGGACAGTGGGTGTGAATAAGCCCAGTAGTCCTCGATGAGGAAGCCCCGTGTCCACGTGGGTAGGTCAGTGGGGAGGGGGAAGAATGCAGCTCAAACTTCAGGTAAGATGGGCCTGGCTCTGCCCCTTAGCTGTGTTACCTGAGATAAGTGTTTCAGCCTCTCTGAGCCTTTGTTTCTTAATCTACAAAAAGGGTACCATGATATCCACCTACTGGGTTGTCATAAGGTTTAAGCAGGAAAATACACATGAAGAGCTTTCACTGGGACCCAGGCCTGACAAATACTCAGTATTAGAGTTGCTCTTGTCCCGAAGGCACAGAGTTAGGATGGGAAGAGCTGGGATTCGCACCCAGGTTGCCAGACTCTAAATATTTTGCCATTTCTGGTCCCTACACTCATGACAACAACCGCACCAGGAAGGCAAGGCCTGTGCTCTTCCTCTTACTCTGATTTGACAGCTGAGGAGACAAGGTCTCCATGTTTCCTGCCTTGAGAGCTGACCTGGCAGCCACATGGACCTGGCAGCTATCTCAAGAAACTGGGTGAACAAGAGCCCTTCCCCACCCAGCCTGGCCTTAGCATGGGCAGGGACAGGCGGTGAGGAGGGAGGCAGGAAGGAGAGAAGGAAGGAAAGAAGAAAGGAAGGAAGGAGTAAGGAAGGAAGAAAGGAGGGAGAAAGGGAGGAAAAAAAGAAGAAAGAAGGGAAAGAGGGAGGAAGGGAAAAAGGAGGAAAGGCAGAAAAGAAAGAAGGAGCGAAGGAGGGAAGGAAGGGGAGAGGGAGGGGAGGAAGGAGCGAAGGAGGGAGCGATGGGGGAGAAAGGAGGGAATAAGAAGGGTGGGAGGGAGAGGAGGGAAACAGAGAAGGAAGGAGGGAGGGAAGAAGGGGAGGAGGGAGGGAGGAAGGAGGGAAGGAGGGGAGAGAGGAGGGAAGAAGCAAAGGAAAGAGAGAAGAAATGAAGATAAGAAGGAAGGAAGGAAAGGAAGGAAG